TTATTGAGTCCCCAAAAGAACCTTGCTCAAGAAATTAGTCATGCAAAACACAGATTTGGAGGAAAACACTATCACAAACATTAGGAGGCGGGTGCACTCAATTTATTATGCAAACACGCGTTTCCATTTTTTTAATATTAATATTTCAAGAATATTATCGGTTTTATTTTTCCTTGATGTGTTCGGTTGCGTTACCCTTCCATCCAGTTGATGGATCCGTCATTCCATTAGCGTTCTTCATTCCAGTTTCATTATTTCTAGTGCGTAATTTATGAGTTTGACCGTGTAGAACGAGTGGTTCAAAACCACACGAACTGCAAGCATGTATTTGTTGCTTGCCAAATCGTGAAATACAAGCGCGCCCAGCTCTCCGGACAACTCGTATCTTTCTTTTTGCAGAGCTAGAAAGTATTGAAAGGATGCACTTTCTTTAGAATCAGCACTCTCTTCATTTCCGACAAGACTGAAGATAGCATCTCAACCTATCGCACTATTTTTTGAAGAGTGACACGCTCTTGTAATGCGATGTGAAACACGAACAGCTCCTATTGAAAATTAAAAGTGCCGCAGATCGCATCTTCCCAGTGGATCATTGGATGTCCTAAAAGACGTCTTGGTTGGGTCCCTCTTAAAAGAGGCCCTACTGAGCGGGGTTTTTTTTCACTTTGAGAGAAGAAGGAAGGAAGGAACAATCGTTATTATCATGCAGTGTCATCATTTGCTAACAAGAAACATTTAACAAAATAGGCCGGTATGTTTAAGATAAATAATGGTCAAGTTACTTTAAGCATTTGTGACGTCTTGTTTGACATACATGTATGTGACATATGTTCAGAAAGGGGCAAAATTCAGAGCTTGCCATGGATGCTATTTCCCCTGTTGAAAACTGTCTGATATCTGATAAATAACTAGTTTTAGCTGATAGACCATTTGGACGTCGATTTAGAATTTGAAAAATTTATATAGACCAAAACTGATTTGCCAACTCGATTTATTTGCCTATAATCTCCTAACTTCGTCTATCGATTCCCTTCGGTTTCAGTAGTAATTCTTTATCTACAACCATGGTAAATAATGGCTCTTCCCATACTAAGCACAATGCAGTTGGCATAGTTTTCAAACACTTCCTTCCCGGTCTTAAATTTGCTGTTATTTAAATAAAAGATAAACCTACGAGCCGAGCACAAGTGCAATAACCCTCTGCGTAAGAGTTGTCTTGGATAAATGCATTTGGGTTTCCCCGACGTCGTGTCTCTATTCTGGAATACCCTGCTTAGTACGTATAAACTACTCCCTTGATTAAAACAATACACTCATAACATTTTGCGAGTTGAAGTGAGTTGAAACAATCTGTGTTCATTGTTACCTCTGCACAACGCACTGACGTCACATTAATACTCAAAAATCTCAACTGAACATAAATCTCAAGGAAACTCGAAGCATTTTGGGCAACAATTATTAATACATGTAGTAGCGATCATTGATTTGAGAGTTGGTGCTATGCACAAATGAAATTAGTTCTTAACTGAATAGAAAATCTTGAAAACTTGATTCGTGCATTGCGTTTTGGGATTACGATGTATGATTTCCGTATTGTGCTCCAAAAAGACGTAACAGAATTCAGAACCGTTTTTGTGTCAGAAGCAACGACCGTGTATTGGACAATGTTATGGGGAAATATTTGAAAATGAAAATTCAGACCTTTTTTTTCTGCATCCACTATATAGACAAACAGCCGAATGCATGGTCTGTGTGGATATGTTGCCCTGCTTTTACATGTGTAATTTGATATCACAATGTACCAAAATGACGCACTATTCGCCTTGTCTTTTTTAACAAATAATGAAAAGAGCTACTATTTCACTTGGTTTTCGCGGAACACATCTGAACATAGTCTGATATAAGATATGACACAAAGCATTCTTTTTGCCTATTCACGCTACCGTGACATTTAATTGGGGCTTTTCTATCACTCCAAAATAGCATGAGAGTGAGAGCGAGATCTGAGAGAGAGAGAGAGAGAGAGAGAGATGACAGGGGACAGGGGATTGTTGGATTGTTAAAGCGAGAGAGAGAGAGATGACAGAGGATTGTTAAGACGACTGGGGCAGATTATATGATCGGCTGCGATGTGTAAATGTCAAGGCTTATCAAATGTACAGTTCTTTTATATCTACGGCAATAACACATAACGCAGATGAAAGCCATGCTTTAATCAAAGCGACGTGCCTTTTGAAATGTCACTAGATAATCGGTTGTAGATAAACCGTAGATTGTTCACGTCTCTCTTGTTCATAGGAAATAGTAAAAATGACCTATAGTATATGCTGAATTCATTCAAGGCGGTATGCAATTTAAAACGGGCTGTTTTGTTCTCAATTTCTATGGAAGAAATCCGAAAACAAAAGTCTCAAATGACAAATACATGTCACAAAGTAATTTGGGGACATTCCACTTTTCATTAAAAGCTCTGAAGCTTTTCGTGACAATGTTAGCTCGCTGAGACAAAAAAAAATGTCGTGATTCCACTGCTACTAGATTATCTGTCTCAAGAGACACAAAAAATGCGCACCTGACTCCCGTCTTGAAAGATGCATTCGTATTCAGTATTAAAGATGCCCTCTTTTAATCTCACCAATTTCTTTGTAGTTCCGGATATTGCTACGTCCGACACTAAACGATCAAATAGAATTGAAGAGTTCTCATGTAGCTGCAATGCATAATTCATCGTCTACTTCATCAGCTCTACCTAATAGGCAACACCACGGTAATGGGGAAAACGGAAAATCAGTGCGTTCGTCGCGTCCCCTTTGGTAGATTACGCGGAATTAGATTATTGAGTCGAGCAATTACAGTGACTAAAAGCTCTCGCTAATTGCTGGCGGATTAGGCATACAAATGCGACAAAAACTGGCAAACGTCTTATGTCCCTTGCCGCGTGCACAGGCAAATTACTGGGATTGACTGCCTGCTTAGAACTGAGGGTCAGTTTCAAAATAAAGTCTACTCGTACAGGCGTCATAATCAACGGGTTTCGTAAGTCTGGCTGGTACCAAGCTCCACGATATATATATATATATATATATATATATATATATATATATATATATATATATATATATAAGAAAAAGGCATATATCTTAAAGCATTTTCCGTAAAACGGGTGGCACGTTGGCGACCTTGTCCACAAATAACACACACCAAAAAGGTAAAAAATACATGATTAATTCATTATTTGAAAAAACATCCAAGAATTGGTTTTCAAGAAGTAGTTCAGTGGACGCAGATTCTTTGTTGATTCAGAAACCAGGAGAAAAAAGAAGAAGAGCTAACAACAAACTGTTTGTCTTTATGCGCTGCTTCATTCCAATGTTAAAAGCTGTAACGATTGTTCCGGTACAAAAAGCTGACGGTGCCAAAATGTGTTTTAACTCAAGCGTTAATGACTTAGCAAAGAGCGACACAAAAGTTATGTTACAAACTGTTATCATCGATGGTATTAATTTATTAAGACACAATGTGTTAAATGGCAAGATTGAAGGGTTACTAAAATATGGCATCCGCAGGTTGGCAATGTAAAAGACTAACTGATGTTAACGGCTACAGTAACGAACAGCAAATTAAGGGTGAGGGCAGCACACTTTTTGGCCATTCCTGAATTTCATTTCAACCATTCAAATACCTTGGTGACATTGCAGTATAAACAGTAAGGTAAAATTAAGTTTGGTATTTGGAATAAAAATTCAATGGAGGAGTAAGGAAACGAAGTCCGGAGATGATTAGTTATGTTTTTAGGATAGTTATAATTTTGGATTCAGATTTGTAGGCTTTGCGTGGGTTGGTTTGGTACGGTACATGAAGATTTAATGTCCATGTTACATGTTCACCCACTTCTGCTACTTGCACTAGGCTGTACATGTTTTCACATGGAAAGACATATTTAATTGGTAACTATACCCAATACGATAGAGAAAAGGAGCTCATTGCATGTAAAAGTTATAGATCAATCACAGTTGTTCTGCAATCCGATAAAACAATACAAACTACAAAAAAAATGTCTGAAACAAAACAAAGAGTTTCGCTTTCTCCACTTACCTTGAACAATCTTAGAATATTGGCTACCATGACAGATACGGAACTGGACGCCGCTCCAATGACTCCGGCAACAGGCCTTGACTTCACGTACTTACGAAGGCGTCCGTCTTTGCACTGGTAATTCCCCTCGTCGAAGTTGTTAAACTGAGCCCGTATAAAATCCATGGACTGCTCGAGGGCGTAACTGTCCCTAGAACAAGTGTCCAAGATGTGGACGCCGAGGGTAATGTTTGGTAGTATACTGTCATCATTGTTGATTTTATCGACTGCGTACAGCATTGCCTCCATCCGTTGTATGCCTTTTTCTTCTTTCACTTTGCCACAGTTTTTCCCCACAGGGCCTTTCTCGTGCATGGGGAACAGCCCCCCGAAGATGATGTCTCCGGGTAGTTTCAGCTTCTTTTCTCCTTCATTTCGCGAGTGTCCCCCGCTCTCTCCTATACCGGATGTGTGCACGGTGGTCGTGAGTACTAGGATGCACCAGTGTAAAACATGACCAACCAACAACACCTTGTTTGTTGACATAATTTCCTAATATTTTTTCCTCTGTTTTAGTTGTTGTTTCACTCGGACTCTCCGTCTGAGGCGAACGCCAGAGTTTATAGCTAAACTGGCAGTTGACCAGCAATGTGGGAACGAATCGATCAAGGTGGCAATAAATGCATTGATTTCTGCCCTCTGTCTGATACCGAGCTCCACGAAACTTGGGCAGAGTTTACGCCTTCGTTATTTCCCGCTATGAAGTGGTAAAGAGTGTCCTTGGGTGGAGGCTGGGGGGAGAGGAAGACGTTGGTTGCAAAACGAGACAATCCGCTTGTCCAAGGTGGACGACAAAACTGACGACGAGCTTAGCACAATGTAAAACCCTTCAATCCGGAAAGACGGGATCGCCTTCATGCCAATGAGAAATCACGGTTCAAAGGTAGTTACATGCACATAAGTAGTTTCGTGACTTGTTCGAGATTTTGAAAGACGATGGAATGGCTTGTGTTCTCCGCGAGTGACGAAATATACTACAGCAATGGCAAGACAGGAGCGACCGTGGCTCTGTGCTGTGCTCCTCTCACTTGTCTGTCCTCATCTGGAAAACACCTGGCAAGCACGTTCGAGTCTTTACCTGTAACGAAGTGAAAAGGTCATGATAATGAATAAAAGATACTGACATTCTTGGCTTTTTGTCGTCTTTAAAAAGAAAAACATGGAAGTTGGTCTCAGATTTAGAGTAACGAACATAAAGACCACCCCCATCTTCGTATGGTTGGGTTAAACGGCCCTGATTGCTGACCTGAGCTCTCTGAACCAGATCTGCGTTGAAATATGCACAAATCAATGGTCATCTGAATTCATGATTACGAAAACATACCAGAGTCTTGTTAGCAAAAGGAATTTGAGTCTATCCGCACAACTCTCAAGCCGCAACTCAAGCCAATTACATTCTTGTCAACGACGTCCCTGTAAATGTACCCTTATCCTTCTAGGAAAAAGGCTGCAATAACGAAAATATAGATCAATGCGTGTGATGACCGTGGTTTTCCTTTGCATTTTCCCTCAGTTCACATTGAGTGTCTACACATCTCCTTTTACAAAGCAGTGAAACTATATCCTCCTGTAGAACGATTACAATTATACTCTCTAAAATAACTTAATACGTATTGTAAAGAATTCCTACTTCCAACGGCAAAAAAACACATTCCATGCGCTGCATGAAAAATCATTTACAGCTATGATGTTCAGCTTGGCTGAGAATACAGTATAATATCTGACTATGTGGGTTCTGGCATGTACACGTTTCAGAACTACATCTATTTCCAAATAGTTACCACACGTGTAGTAGTAGATATATTCGTCGATAATGAGTAAGTAATAACCGTGTTGTATGTACCAATGGTGTAAATGACCATACTATCATCAACATTTGTTGGAAAATATTACGTCATATACTCAATTTCTTATTACGTCATATCTGGAACTGGCATATACGTAATCACACGTGCTTAATGACACCGGTAGATAGATAAATAGATACATATATGCAGGTTGATAGCCATATGAAAAATATTTATAGATCATCTCATTTTCTGGTTTACTTTCAGCATGCTAAAACATTTTGCATTTTGCGAAAACTGACATAAATACGTGGACAAGTATTTTTCCGGTAGCTTTCTATTTTCCTTTTTCGTTTATTTCTACAATCAATAAGTACGATTACAAACCTTTATGAATATCTGTAAAACTGCTCCACTTCTTCTTAACTCCATTTGTTTACATACATCCTTATATACCGGACGTCAAACTTCAGACAAGCAGTAGCCGATGTAAAACGTTAGGGAGCGCACAGATAAACCCACCGCACTAACTGGATCGTTCCAACTCTGCGGAGATTCTCCATAAGTGCAATCAGGGTAATCGGCTTAAATGTGTGACACACCTCCTCGAATTTCTAAGGGGTAATTAACTTGTTAACTCCGCTACTCACGGAGGTTTATCAGACAATTAAGCTGGTAACACTGCATGCACTTAAACGAGAATCTCCCGCGGAGTTGGATCGATCCAGCTGGTCCGACGGTTGAATCTGAACGTGATCTAATACACAAAAGAGCGCTTATAGGACGTGGGAGTAGAGGCCCCTGTGGCTTTCTTAATCGTTTTCTTCCCATGGTGCCTCTCTTTGACTACTAGTCAAGACAGACCACAGCGCAAGGGGGAATCCCAGAATAGATGGTTTAACCTCTTTTAGTCTGACAGGCGACTGCTACCTCACCAAACACGTGTGGATAATAACACTTAATACACTCGTCTTGAGATATTACATGCAAGAAAGTGATGAGTTCTGTCTGATGCGTCCTATCCTGTGAGAGGCCATCAGACGATCGACTTAAAACATTAGCTGTCATTCTTGTGGACGTATGAGATTCTACATGTTGTGAAGAAATTAGGCATCTGAACTAGTACCTTTTTATTCCAACAGAAGTTTTTAATTGGAAACAGCAAATTATAATGTGCTGTGATACAAAAGGAGTTGCCCAATAAATAAACCACGGGGCCTTTCTTACAAAAAAAAAACATGACTTAAGTTTCAGGGAAAAAACGCACTACATTACAGTGGACCCTTTTTTTATCTTAGACAAAAAAGATAAAAGTTTTGCTCTCAATGTTTTTTCTCTTAAGTGAAGCACCTTTACTTGTATACTAAAATATAGCAATTGTTGATCTGAAACAATCTCTCCCTATGTGAAACAGACCAAAATATAGGTGTGTCCTAGCTCCAAGTAAAATTTAAAAAAAAACTTTCCTTTTCAGTTATTTTGTGATACCGCCACCCTGTGGATAAGTTGTCGGAATTTAGTCGTCTATATTGCCTTAACATTGATGGACAACTTTTTATTTTTAGTCCGTTTGTGATACCGAACCTTGTGGAAAATTGCTAGAAAACTGTTGGAAATAAGTTATCTGGCCTTGAATGTACATGTCTTTTCACGTCATCTTCTGCTGTCCTGCTAACATTATTATTATTATTATTATTATTATTATTATTATTATTATTATTATTATTATTATTATTATTATTATTAGCGGAATGGCGCCATTTTTGTCAGTGTGAATGGCACCTGTTTAGATCCTTGGACTCGTCAAGTCAAGCTCCCTGTACTGCTAAATCTACATCGCAGAACCTCTTAGAAGATTAAACACATAACCAAATAAGATTTAGTTATTTGTTTACCGTATAAACCAAGTAGTGGGTTTCACTAAATACATTGTATATGCATGATCAGCCAATGTGGAGGTGATCCTTTGGGGAATGCGAATTCGGGTTCAATACATGTACATGTATATTGCAGTATTACACAATTAAGCGCCATGTAATGCCGTGTACTTTTAGACACCCCCAGCCTCAGAACCTAAGGTTGCCGCATAGTTTGAGAAATATGGCCACTCCATAAACTAAATAAGTTTAAGACTAAAATGATTTAACACTGAGGCATAACCACATTAATATGTTCTTGCAAATGCTGTTTTTGAAATTACATGTAACATTTTAACTTTTGACTCCCAGCCAAAAACTCAATCATGGTCTTTAAAGTGTCTGTCAGTCTTGTAAAACTTTGCGACATTTTCTGCTGCCAGGCCATGCAGACAACGGTGTCTGTGGTTTGTCTGCGGTTTGTTTTTGCATCACCAAACCTTTTGACCTTTCAAAAACTGCTTTGTCTTGAGAAATGGGGTAATTCTCATCACCAGGTGATTTGTTTTTTCTTTTCAAAGAACGATTCCCTTTCAAAGAAAGTTTCGCAAATTAAGTGCAATGGCTTGGATCTAAGGCCCTCTTGAATAATTCACCCTTTGACTGGATATTGTTTTACGGATGAAGGTGGAAAATTAAGGTTGGGTGTCACCTCCATCGTTATGGAGAATTGACTTCTAAATGTCAAATGTGGGTATTTCTTGTTAATTTGTGCGTTTCAGGAAGAAACGACGACCTCAGGAAAGGTCTAGCAAAGCCTGTAATTTCTCCCTTTTTCTTTTATTCCTTTTTATTTTTATTTATTTAATTTTTCACTTTTGTAAAAATTTTTTGGAAAATGAAACGTACATAATGCTAAATTTTGTTTTCTTCGATATTTTCCCCTTTACACATGTATCGCTATAATATTTAAAAACAAAAGATATGTACATGTCAATCGGAGTAAGATTTCTAGTCCATCAGTGACAGATCATCGGCTTTCTTGGTCGACTTTTCACCTTTTCCTCTGAGCCAGGTTATTTCAGCGCATCAATCAATGCCGCTTTATCACATGCCGTTATTGGCAACCAGGCAAATTGTGATTGATCTGCCAATGGGGGCGTCAAATCCTAACCGCAATCACTAGAAGAGACAGCATTAACCCTGGGTGGAACAAATCGCGTCGTTTGTCCCTTTTTTCAACGCTAAGCATACGACTAACCTGTTTGACCGCCATGGGCTTTGGGTTTTGACTCGAGGGGAATCGTAAAATCTGTCATTAAACGGTTGTTACAGAAATATGATGATATCGGTGATCGATAAGAGCAACAAAGACTTCACACACAAAAGACACCGGTTTTTTCTGTTGATCATCTACCCGTCGAGGTTTGATGGTACATGTACATTATGCGTGCAGTACGTCCCAGGGTCAAGTGTATTCAACAATCTGACACCATAAAAAGTAGAAAATCAACTTACCCCAGGGCTATAGAAATTGAACTTAGACTTTAATACCTATTCATTATACGAAAATACCTACTTGACAATTTTTGACGCTCAGAAATTCAGTAAAGTCTCGTTCACATTTAAAGGGAGGACTGAAGGTTGGTAATTTTAACTTAAATTAAAGGTCTTAGCTTTTTTATTCCTGTTGTAATTATTTAATGTATCTTCAAAACATCTAATAATGCTTGAAACACAGCTCGAAGTTAATCGTGTGACGTAATATTAGGATTTTTGGGGCAAAAAACATTATTTTTAGTTTCCTGATTTTCTCAGGCACCTGGACAGCTATAGACATGCT